CTGCGGTCGAGGTGCAACTCATCAGACCCACCGCCAACTTTGAACACTGGGGGGAGGGGGAGGCGTTCACGGATGAATGCGGCATGAGTGCTCGCTATTTTTTTCCGAGGCCTGTCCGACCCCATCTGCTCGGACCCCATCTGGGAGGCCCAGAGACTGGCGCTCCTCCGAATCGACGCGCAGAAGCCCCGTCAGGCGCCACCCGCGCACTCCTGCCACGGCGCGACCAGCGCGTGCAGCACGACCTTCGAGGGGGGCCTGACCGTCCCCTCCACCCCCTGCGCGGGCAGCCAGCTCCAGCGCGGGAAGTCCCTGGAGCGGCCGTTGATGATGAGGAGGATCGCCAGGGAACCCAGCAGCTCATCGAAGGAGAAAGACGGCACAAGCATGAACTTCCGGAAGTCCGCGCGGGTTCCTCGGATCGGCGCTGCCCCCCCTGGCGTGCTCCGCGCGCCAGGGAGCGAGCTCTGGCGCCGATCCCAAAAATCCGCGCGGACCTCCGAAACTTTCTGTCTGCACAGCTTTCCTTCTTCCGGCTCGATCAGGGGCAGGCCGAACATTCCGGGCAGGAACATGCCAAACGTGATCCCCAGGCAGGTGCTCGTGCCATACCACCCGTGCACCTGGGGACTGAGCGTCCCGTGGCGCTGCATCGCCGCGATCGTCATGGTGTGGTGCGGGCAGAACCCGGCGCCCATCATCGCGAAGCAGGCCAGGAGCAGGCCCTGGCACCCCCGGCCCGGCGCCTGGCCCCGCGCCGCCTGCTCCACCAGCCAGCCGTCCACCCAGTAGAAGAGCACGGCGGCGGAGCCGGCGAGCAGGGCCCCGGCGTGCATGATGGTCGACGGGAGCAGCCTGCTGGAGACGGGCACGAGCGCCACGCGGGCCAGGGTGCACGAGGCGTAGAACACCGCGGGCACGGCCGCGGCGACCCGCTGGGGCAGGCCCAGCGAGCACACGGCGTAAGTGAACGCCCAGCAGGACACCGCCGTCATGGTCACCTGCACCGCGAAGCTGAAGGCTACCAGCCTGGAACACATCCCTACCCCTATGCTGGGCACCTCCTCATCACGATGCCAATCTTAGGGACTCCCTTCTCTTTTGAGGGCGCATCCCTAAGATTGTCATCGCCTTTTGGCGTGTCAATCTTAGGGATAAGGACACGCTCGAGGCTGGTAAGAAGGCCAGGCCCGCCCGCAGCACCCGCGCCGGCAGCCGCGGGGGCCCGCCCGCCGCCGCGCGCGCGCCCTCGGCGCCGGGCTCCGGCGGCGCGCTCAGCGGCCCGGCGCCGCGCACCTTCTGCTTCCAGGCCCGGGGCTTGCCGCGCCGCAGCCTCTTCGCCGCCAGGGCCGCGAAGGTCACGAAGTCGACGGCGGCAAGCACGAGCCAGGACTGCCGGGGGCTCGTGACCACGATGAAGGGGGCGAGCATGCAGCCGGTCCCGTACAGCGTGTCGTAGATGAGGAAGGCCCTCCCGGCCAGCGGACCGTGGGCTCGTGCGATCAGCAGCGTGGCGAAGGTGTCCAGCATGGCCATGGACATGCCCACGAGGAGGAAAGCCAGGTACAGGAGCAGCGGGCTTGTCAGCTGGGGGATGGTCCGAGGAGGCTCCGCCCCCCAGAGGGCCAGGGAAGCACAGCACCAACCAGACAGGCACTCCAAATGTTAAAACCAGAAAGGCCCAGACTGCAGAGTCACGAGACGTGTCATCAGATCACCGTGCAACTCTGCTCGATGGCTCTCGCCTGCCCTCAGCAGGATCAGTCAGCATCGGATCGGGAAATCGGATGGAATCGGAAAGTGCGTCGGATCGGGCCTTAGTGGGCCCTGGAAACGACAAGGCCGTTTTTTTACCGGTTCCGTTTTGCCGTTTTTTTGCCGCTTCCGACGCCGTTTGTTTACAAGTTCCGTCGCCATTTTTTGACCGGCTCCGCCGTTTTTTTGCCGTTTCCGGTCGCCGTTTTTTTGCCGTTTCCATTTTCAAGGGACATTTTTCTGGAAACGGTGACAAAAACGGCCCTGCCGTTTCCGGGGCCCACTGAGGATCGGGCTGCATCGGCACGGAATCGCATCGACTCAGATCGGCCGCGTCGGGATGCACGACGGTGCCATGCGAGCACCGGTGCCGCATCGGACCGGCGGGATGTCGGGAGCGAAGTGGATCGGGCCGGCCAGAGTCGGTACATCTAACATGTTTTTTAAGCATCAATTATACTGCACACATATATGAAGGGGAACTTGGACACACAAAAAAATACACACAAATAAACATATCCTCCCTATTTTCCTGTATTTTCTGGGTTTTTGTCTTCCCCCCACTTCCCATATTTTCCCATATTTTCTGGGAGTCGACGATTAATTGTATCTGCGTGTTTTTCCCCTCCTGAACATATATATCTTATGCTTGTAGATCGAAAGAAAGATCGATCGGATCGAAATGGGCTCCGCCCTGCCCGCCTGACTCGTCTCGGGGACCTGCTCCTGCCTGGGGAGGCGAGCTGCTGATGCCGCTGCTCCCCAGGCCTCCCTGGACTGCGCCTCTCACAGGGATCCCGAGGCGCGCCCAGCCGCTGCCACGAGGGACGCGCAGAGGCCTCGGCCTTTCCCTTCCCCAGTCGCTTCCCTGCTGGCTGTCTGCCCCTCTGCCCCCCGCCCGACCCCCGACGACGTGATCTCGCCACCTGGCATCGCTCGGACGTGTGCATGTTTCCTTCGGCGAGGACCATCGAGGAACATCCTTGATCATTTGGCGAAAAACCCACGCACGAAACCGAAAAGAACACAGGGAATGGACGTCCAAGCCATGGCGAGGCCCTTCTAAGAAGCGTTCCGGCCCGGGCCCTTCTTAAGAAGCAGGGGTGCTTCTAAGAAGCTTTCCCCCCTCCCCCTACCCAGACCCCCGACGTCATGATTTTTTCATGACGTCGACCCCCCGAGGTCTCGACCCATTCCCTGGGACCGGTTTTCCGTCCTGAGTCGTTTTTTGACGGTCCCGAGGGCCGGTAAGGGCCCCCAAAGGCCAAAAATAGTGAAAAACCTCCCGTCGTGATTTTTTCATAACTCGAGGGGTTCTGGGTACCCCCCTGTGGGCGTGGCTGAAGCATGCAAGTCCAAGCGATGGCGAGGTCAGCGCACGGCCCCAGTGGGCCCGCCCCTTTCCGCGGGGGCAGTGCTTTTCGCTCCCGGTCCGCTCTTCTGCTGGCCCTCGGGGGGTCCGACGGCGGGCCCCCGGCGGCCGAAAAATATCGAGGCAGGGCGCGCGAGGTCGAGAGCATCACGGCCTTTGGCACGGGGCGCTCGCTGGCCCCCCAAGGGGGCCGCTGGCAGGGGCCGCTCCTCGGCGCAGTTCACGCCGAGCTGTGCGCGAAAGAACGGATCGATGGGAGGGGGCGGTATAGACAGTGACGGCGCCAAGAGTCGTGGGCAAGGCGCCCGGACTGAAAGCGTCACGTCGTCGGAGGTCCAGGACGGAGACGGGGCCACCGCGGGGGATGACCAGCTCGCAGGCCATCTTCAGCGCCAGCGCGCCAGCCACGCCCGCCTCTCTGGGAGAGCAGCGCGCTCCCGATACCACCGCCCCCACTGCCTATATTTTCCAATATTTTCTGGGAATCGACGATTAATAATTGTGTCTGTGTGTTTCTTCTCCTCTTGACTCCTTTCCTCCCCCGAGCGCCTCGGAGTTCCCGCTCCAGAGCAGCCGGCCGATGAGCGGGCTGAGGGCCGTGGGCCCCAGCACGAGCCCGACTCCGCGCGAGGCCACGAGCAGGTTCTGCGGCAGCCCCGTCGCCTCGCTGGGGCGGCCAGGGGGCGGCGGGCGCGCGGGGAAGGGAACGGCCGGCCAGCGAGTCGGACATCTGCAGCCGGGCTGCCGCAGGGAGGAACGCCAGGAGGAACGAAGACCCTCCTCCTCCTCCTCCTCCTCCTCCTCTCCTCCTCCTCCTCCTCCTCCTCCTCTCCTCCTCCTCCCCCGCCCCCTCCTCCCCCTCCCCCCCTCCTCCTCCTCCTCCCTCCCCCTCCTCCTCCTCCTCCTCCCCCCTCCTCCTCCCCCTCCTCTCCCCTCTCCTGTTCCTCCCCTCCTCCTCCTCCCCTCCTCCTCCTCCTCCTCCTCCTCCTCCTCCTCCTCCTCCTCCTCCAGCTGAGAAACAGCCACGGAATGACCTAAGGAACAGCGGGCCCCTTCCGAACCAAGAGCGGTCCTCAGTTCAGCGTCTTGACTGTAGAAAGCACCGGATGGGGATCAGAATTCGAAGGGTGCCTGCGGGCCAAATGCTCGCCAGCGGGTGGCCCTTACTCCCGCGTCGGCTGAACCCGCAGGAGGCCAGGAGGCAACTCCAGAGATGCCTGCATGCGAGCGCATGAAGAGCCATCAGGCCCAACAGGGAGGGGCCACCGAGCTGGCCCATCAGCCCAGATCTGGCCAAGTTGAGCGGGATCGCACCGGAGTGAGCCGGATCTGGCTGGAGTAGGACAGCTTTCGACCGCGGACGCTCCCGCGCCGATGCTGAACCTGACCCCTCATGAGCATCACTTCATCGATCCCCATCCCCACTGGCGTGGCCCGGGCCCCACTGGCCGATTTCCCCCCCCCAGATGGGGATGTCTGCTGTTACCTTCGGGTTTCGCTGGGCCCATCCCCAGCTGGGAGGGCGGAAGGTGCTGAGATACCATGGCCCCACGGAGATGGCGATCGGTCAAACGATACTGAGACGCTGCACCTGACCCCCCAGGGCACAGGGCACGAGCCCAGGGCCAGAGCCGGCAGGCCGGCAGGTGGGAACATTGAGCAGGGACCGACCGTCCCGGCATCCCTGTAGTCCTCCCACGAACTGTTCTTAAAACCCCAAAAATGTTCTAAGAGCAAAAAACAATGCTCTTAGAACATAAACCCGATGTTGTAAAACAAGACAAGCTCAACCATACATGTTCTAAGAACACTTCGTGGGAACCACAAAAGGTTCTTAGAATATTGTTTGGTAGGTCTATAAGCGAGCCAAGACGCTTCGCCACTGCTTGAGGCACGAGCCCAGAACCAAAGCTGGCAGGCTGGCAGGTGGGAACAGCCGCCGGGTCGCCGCTGCCCGCGGCTTGTGGCCTCTGCGAGCGCGCCCACCGAGCCTCCCCGGCAGCCGCGGGGGGAGCCGGGAGCGGCAGAGCAGCAGCCGGGGGGCGGGGCAGCCGGAGGGAGAGCTGCACCTAAACGGTGTTTTCCGTATTCGTTCTCCCTCGCGTTTGTCTCGAATCCGCCTTTACCGCAAACGAAGTCGAAACGAAAACGGCCCACGAAATCACCAAAAACACCGTTTAGGTCCAGCCCTGGCCGGAGGGAAAGAGAACAGTTGCCATGACCCAGGCTGAGCGCGGAAACGTCGGTGTCGATCGTCTTGGCTATCGTTACTATTGGCCATCCTCGATCCGTGGGTCATCCTCGTGAATCGGCGACGGCTGGCGTGGGCCATGGCCAGGATCGGCGTCGGCAAGATCCCTCGACATCCTGCTCACGGTCGTCGCGCTCCTCCAAGAGGAGGCGCAGCGGGGCGGGGAGGGGCAGCGGCAGCAGCGCAGGGCAGCGGCACCCGACGGCAGCAGGAGCCCGGAGGCAGACGAGAAGGGGCGCCCCCGCGGGGGCCTCGGAGATGGCCAAGCTGGACGCGCCGGCGATGCCCACGGTGAGCCCGCGGATGAGGTAGCAGGCGTAGTAGGCGCGCAGGACGCCGGTGCCGTGGCCGCCAGAGCCCTCCGAGGCCAGCCGCGCCATCGCCGGCGCTCCGCCCGCCGCGGCTTTGAGCAGGGACCGACCGCCCCGGCATCCCTGTAGTCCTACCACGGCATGTTCTTACCACCCCCTGGATGAGAAAGTGGTGATCGACACTGTGCCAGGGAACAGCCCCTGGGTCTTCGCCAATCGAAAGACAACTCAAGCATCGACCGTCGATCGATCCCAAGCAACTCCCAGACAGAGTCGTGGCCCGAACGGAGGAACGGCGACGGGGGGTGGACCGGTGGACAAGGCGCGCGGTTGTGAGGACAGCCCAAGCCAAGGCGCCACTCTTTGGCGGTGTGAAAGGCGGTCAGAAAATACCCTGCGAGGAATTCTCAGGCGATGTCGCTGCTCAAGCGGCATGGAGATGGATCGGATTTTTCCCAACCATCCTGTGGTGTTGGGTCCTCGTTTTGAAGAGACGGTGCCCGCGTCCTCTCCTCTCCTCCTCTTCCCCCTCCTCCCTCCTCCCCCTCCTTGCCTCTGCTCTCGGCACACCTCTCACGCGTTTCGTAGCCCCATAGGGAGCTCCACCGAAGGCCCCAGTGGGGGTTCGCATGCGGTTCCATGCGGTTAGGCTCCCCACCCCAGTGGGGGTGTCGCATGCGGTTCCCCCACCCAGGGCAGCGTTTCGTGGCCCCATAGGGAGCTCCACCGAAGGCCCCAGTGGGGGTGTTCGCATGCGGTTCCCCCACCCAGGGCAGCGTTTCGTGGCCCCATAGGGAGCTCCACCGAAGGCCCCAGTGGGGGTGTTCGCATGCGGTTCCCCCACCCAGGGCAGCGTTTCGTAGCCCCATAGGGAGCTCCACCGAAGGCCCCAGTGGGGGTGTTCGCATGCGGTTCCCCCACCCAGGGCAGCGTTTCGTGGCCCCATAGGGAGCTCCACCGAAGGCCCCAGTGGGGGTGTTCGCATGCGGTTCCCCCACCCAGGGCAGCGTTTCGTGGCCCCATAGGGAGCTCCACCGAAGGCCCCAGTGGGGGTGTTCGCATGCGGTTCCCCCACCCAGGGCAGCGTTTCGTGGCCCCATAGGGAGCTCCACCGAAGGCCCCAGTGGGGGTGTTCGCATGCGGTTCCCCCACCCAGGGCAGCGTTTCGTAGCCCCATAGGGAGCTCCACCGAAGGCCCCAGTGGGGGTGTTCGCATGCGGTTCCCCCACCCAGGGCAGCGTTTCGTGGCCCCATAGGGAGCTCCACCGAAGGCCCCAGTGGGGGTGTTCGCATGCGGTTCCCCCACCCAGGGCAGCGTTTCGTGGCCCCATAGGGAGCTCCACCGAAGGCCCCAGTGGGGGTGTTCGCATGCGGTTCCCCCACCCAGGGCAGCGTTTCGTGGCCCCATAGGGAGCTCCACCGAAGGCCCCAGTGGGGGTGTTCGCATGCGGTTCCCCCACCCAGGGCAGCGTTTCGTAGCCCCATAGGGAGCTCCACCGAAGGCCCCAGTGGGGGTGTTCGCATGCGGTTCCCCCACCCAGGGCAGCGTTTCGTGGCCCCATAGGGAGCTCCACCGAAGGCCCCAGTGGGGGTGTTCGCATGCGGTTCCCCCACCCAGGGCAGCGCTTCGTGGCCCCATGGGGAGCTCCACCGAAAGCCCCCGTGGCGCAGTTCGCATGCGCTTCCCCCACCCAGGGCAGCGTTTCGTGGCACCATAGGGAGCTCCACCGAAGGCCCCAGTGGCGCAGTTCGCATGCGGTTCCCCCACCCAGGGCAGCGTTTCGTAGCCCCATAGGGAGCTCCACCGAAGGCCCGCCCCGGTGGCGCAGTCCGCATGCGGTTCCCCCTATCCAAGGCAGCGCTTCGTGGCCCCATATGGAGCCCCACCGAAAGCGGCACCCACAACGCGTTACCAACAATTGCTTATGGTTGGGTCTTTCGCCAGGATAATTTTCTGAAGTTTTTTATGCGAAATCGCCACTTTCAGATGCCGCGGCAAATTTTCAGATCGCCCTGGAAGGCGATCTGAAATTTGTTTTGCGGAAGTCTCAGGCGGAATCGCATTTTCAGACGCTGACCCCATTTGGCTGCTATAATATTAAAAATGGTGAGAGATGCATCCGAAATTCCTGAATCGGCCCCGAGTCCAACATTGTCCTGGGGCCCCGTGGCCTAACGGAAGGCCAACCGCGTCTTTCTCGATCCCCACGGTCTCCACTTTTTAATCCAGCGGGTTGTAGAACCCCAAAATGTTCTAAGAACAAAACAGTGCTCTTAGAACATGAACCCGATGTTGTAAAACAAGACAAGCTCAACCAGAAATGTTCTAACAACACTTCGTGGGAACCACAAGAGGTGCTTAGAGCAGTGTTTGGTAGGGCTATGGGCGAGCCAGGACGCTTCGCCGCTGCTTGAGGCACGAGCCCAGGGGCCAGGGCCGGCAGCCTGGCAGGTGAGGGCACAGCCGCCGGGCCGCCGCTGCCCGCGGCTTGGGGCCTCTGCGAGCGCGCCCACCGAGCCTCCCCGGCAACCGCGGGGGGAGCTGGGAGCGGCAGAGCAGCAGCCGGAGGGCGGGGCAGCCGGAGGGAGGCCTGAACCTAAACGGTGTTTTTCGCTTGCGTTTTGTTTTCGCTTCCCCTCGCGCTTGTCTCGAATCCGCCTTTATACCGCAAAACGGAGTCGAAACGAAAACGGCCCACGAAATCACCAAAAACACCGTTTAGGTCCAGCCCTGGCTTCGCCACTGCTTGAGCGGCGCGCGGCTCGAGCCAAGAGGCGCTCGGGGCTCCCGGGCCGCACGGGCGGCGCCGGCCGCGGCCGGGCTCCGGCGGTCGGCTGCTGCCCGCCGGGGGGGCCTCGTCGGGCCCGCCGCGGGGCCTCGCGCGCCTCGGGGGGGGGGGGCCGAGGGGCGCGGCTCGTGGGGGCCTCGGGGCCCCTCGGGGGCCTGCGGAGGGAGGAGGGAGGAGGGAGGAGGACGAGAGTGGAGGGGAGGAGGAGGAGGAGGAGAGGAGGAGGAGGAGGAGGAGGAGGAGGAGGAGGAGGAAGAAGAGGAGGAGGAGCAGGAGGAGCAGGAGGAGCAGGAGGAGCAGGAGCAGGAGGAGCCCCACCACTGCGCGAGGCCCAACCTCCGAGCAGGCGTCGCCTCCCGGCCAAGAGAGAGGGCCTCGGGCCGTCTGGCCGGGCCTGCGCCTGCGGAGGCCGTCTAAAGAGAGCCCCGAGCAAGACGTGCGCCTCCTTGCGCAGGGAGCTGGGAGCCCCGCCCCCCCCACCCGCCCCACAAGAAACGTCGCCTCCCAATCCGACAAAGGGGTTACAAGGGAACAAAAAGTGGCACAAACATAAAACTCGGAGGTCCGCGCGGATTTCTCGGATCGGCGCTGGGGCCTAAAGACAAGGATGCGATGGGAGGAGGAGGGGGGAGGAGGAGGGGGCAGCGGGAGGAGGAGGAGACCGATGGAGAACGCGGGGCGCTGCCTTCCGAAACGAAAACCCAACACCGCAGGATGGTTGAGAAAAATTGAAGGGATTTCGCGGATGGAGGGCAGGTCGAACTCTGGGAGCTCCGAGAAGCTTCCCCGTTTGGTCTTAGGTCGGGCGTGTCCCCCTCCAGGGGGATTTGGGGCGAAAAAAAAAAAAAAAACGGTCGAACAAAAAAAGAGAATGCTCAAAAAGAGGTCAAGAATCGTCCCCAGGGTATCCTTGAACTTTTTTTGGGCTAGTCCTCCTGTGGGGGAACGTGGCCCTCGCCGCAGCGCCCCGCGCGCTCCCCTTCCCAAAAAAGCGTGCCGGAGCTCCACGGACGGAGGGCGGCCCGTGGTCAACACATAGGGCCCTCGCCTCCAGCGCCGCGCGCACGCGTCTCTGACATTCTGAAAGAGCTTCACGACTGGCGGAGGGAGGAGGAGGGAGGAGGGAGGAGGGAGGAGGGAGGAGGGAGGAGGGAGGAGGGAGGAGGAGGGAGGAGGAGGAGGGAGGAGGAGGAGGAGGAGGAGGAGGAGGAGGAGGAGGAGGAGGAGGAGGAGGAGGAGGAGGAGGAGGAGGGAGGAAGAGGGAGGAGGGAGGAGGAGGAAGGAGGGAGGAAGAGGGAGGAGGGAGGGGGCGCCGGGGACGCCGACCCCCCTGGGCCATCGCTCGGACGTCCATTTCCTGTGCTTGTTTTCTGTGTCGTGCGTGGCTTTTTCGCGAAATGATCAAGGATGCTCCTCGATGGTCCTCGCCGGAGGAAAAAATGCACACGTCCGAGCGATGCCAAGTTAGAAAGAGCTTCACGACTGGAGGGCGGTTCCCTTCTCGGAGTGTGGCTCCCGCCCGAGCGCCGCGCACATTCTCTGCACAACCTGCAAGAATTTCACGGATGGGGGGCAGTTCCTCTTCAACATGTGGCTCTCGCCTTCGCTCCGCGCAGTTTCGGCCTGAGAGCGCACGGAAGTTTCAAGGATTCTCATGGTTAACGTTCCAAGAAGGGTGTTTTGGCAAAGTGTCCGAGGGTCAGGGCGCAACAGGTACGTTGATTCGTGGCGCTGACGTCCCAGAAACGCTGCTCTGGCACGACTCAGGATCGTCGCCACGCAACAATAACGGTGATTCGCGGCGTTGCAGTCCCAGGAATGGTTTTCTGGCACCGTTCAGGATTTTCAATCGGTTCTGTTTCAACGGGGCACTTCCGTCAGTGAAAATGAATATTTTCAGGGGCTTCTGAAGAGGGAGCTTGGAGGGAAGGTTGATTGCAATACCGATGATGAATCTTGGGTTGATGCTGGTCCTCCTCCTCCTTCTCCTCCTCTTCCTCCTCTTATCCCCCCCCTCATCCTCCTCCTCCTCCTCCTCCTCATCCTCTTGATCCTCCTCTTCTTCCTCCTCCTCCTCCTCGTCCTCCGATTCGTCCACCACTTCGTCCTCCTTCTCGTCCCTTGCCCCGAACGGACGACCACTGCTGCGGACAACCGCCCGGGTCCAACTGAGACCAGGTGGGCGAGGCCGCGGCATCTGAAGTCTGGCCTGTCTGGAAAACACGCAGGGCGAGGCACGGCGAAGGGAGGAGCCCCGCGCGGGCAAGGAGGCGGCAGAGGGCCGCGCCTCCGCGGTGGCCTCGAGCCGGTCGACGACCTGGTTGATCTTGGCGGCCTCGAGGGGGGGGAGGAGCAAGCGAAGGAAGCGGCCGCGAGGGATGGACGGGGGGAGGAGGCGGCCAAGGGGGAACGGGACAGGAGGGACGGGAAAGGGGGGAAAGGGACAAACGGCGGAGACGGGCGGAACAAGGACCTCCCCGTCTTATTTCTGCTGGTTGCGATGATCACTGAAACGCATCCACATTATCTGCGCTAACACAGCCTTCCTCCGCATCCTCTGCACTACCCAGGGTGTGTCTCACCCCGTTTTCATGTACAGTAGGGGCTGATTGGGGAAGACACACGAGAGGACACGGGACCCTTCCGAGGGCCACATTGCCATGGGAATGTATCAGACAGTGGCCGCGAAACACAAGACACAAAGCTACTTGCAGTCAACCCGTATATAGTGGCGCACGATTAAGGATGCAAGGCCTTGAAGGGCCACTTTCGACACTTTGCGAGCGGGACGCGGCCAGCGAAAGCGGCCAAGGATGGGCCGAAGGGGAAGGATGCAAAGGTAACATTGAAAATTTGCTCATCCATCCTGTGCTGGATATTTGTACCCTTGATTTGGCAGGGTCGACCTACAGTCGGGGCGTTGACCTAAGGAACCCTAAATAAGGAACGAGGCCCCTTTTTTCCATAAGTTAAACTTCGATGTCCCATCGAAAACATAAGGGAACCCTGAGGCAAGATGTGAAACAACTAAAGGAACACGGAGCCCCTCCACAACGAACAGGGTTCCTTCTTCAGCGCACCGACTGTACGAACAGCCTCGACTGTGCCGACCCGCTGCCGTTCGGTCCTTGGGCGCCCGAGTTATCCGGGGTAACTCGGGTCCGGGGTAACTCGGGCTTGGATTCCCGAAAAAGAAACCCGAGTTGGCCCTGACCCGAGTTACCCCTGATGATTCGGGGCTCTGGACGCCCGAGTTATCCGGGATAACTCGGGTCCGGGGTAACTCGGGTTTGGATTCCCGAAAAACGAACCCGAGTTAGCCCTGACCCGAGTTACCCCTGATGATTCGAGGCTCTGAGGTCCTGTCTCGGCGTGGGCAACTTCGACGTCCGAGCGCGCAGCGGCAACCTGCGCGCCGTCGCCGGCGAGGCCGCTCCCCGCCCGGCAGCAGGCGAGGCCCAGGCGCGCCGGTGCGTCGGCGACGTCGCCTGGGCCCAGCACAACATAGCACACCCCGCTCGGGCCACGGCGACGTGCCGCGGCGGGAAGCAGCGAGCCGGGCTTGATGCACCGACCTCGCAGAGGGCATCGCCCCGCTCAGGACGAAACACGACTGCTCCAAATCAGACCACTGTTTCCCCCCGGGAATCAGCGAATGAAATTACAGCGATGTGGGCGGGCCTAGCCCGGTTCAGCGCCACTTGACGTCCTGGGAGCTACCTCAAGACACTCACTGAGCCACACCGACCACGGACCTACTGCTTGTTATGAAACGCTGCACGAAGACAGCAAAACTTCCTCGCAGATGGCAGATGGCGCACCAAACTCGTAGAGGGCAGCTTTTCATACATAGGATTTTGAAAAACATTGGATTTTAATACATGACTAATTTATGAATACATGTATGCATGAACTCATCGCTGTTTTTGAAACTAAATCCCTGCATGTTTTATACATGATCCGCACGCGGAACATTGATTCAAAACAACACTGTAGATGGCACCGACCCACCGCTGCCCGGGATCATGGCGGCCCGAGCAGCATCGCTGCCCACGAAGACGAGCGCGCGCCCGTCTGCGCCCCATGCGCCGCAGGTGACCGCCACCGGGAGCAGCTCGGCCTACCGGATGGCCCGCTTGCCCCCCTGCTCCTTCCGCCTCGCTATCGCCTCCTCCTTGGCGCGGACAACGAAGACTCGCTGCGCTCCCGCCTCCGTCTGATCGCGCAGCCCTGCGCCGCGCGACGCACAAGATGGCCCCTCGGCCCCATCGACGAATGAGACGACACCGGGACGGGCCCGGTCAAGCTCCAGAGTCCGAAGCTTCGCCGCCACTGGTGGCTCGACAAGTGCGAAGATCTAGCGCGCCTCTTCCGTGGCCAGCGCAGGTGCTCCACAAGAAGCGTCGGCGAGGTACTTCAGCCCGCGCGCGCCGCGTCCTCCGAAGGGCGCCAACCTGCAGTGGCCTGGCGTGACCAGAAGGCGTAAAACTCCCTCCTCCGCGATCTGCCTCATACTGGCGATGACGGCCTCGGCCTTGCCCGCCCTGCGGCAAATCGCGATCTCGCCGTGGCCGACGCCGCTGTGGACGAATCGAACTCCCAGCGCTGGAGCTACCTCCTGGAATTCGGCAGCGGCCCCATCCTGCACCTTGATGTCCCACCCCAAGAAGTCGAGCACGCTGTCCACGGCAACCCTTGCCGAGGTCGCCGACGAGCTCGGTTCGAGCTGCGGGACGTCGTCGACGCACTGGTCGATCGCCAGGTGGAACAGGCCGGCCAGGATGTAATTCGGGTCACGTGCGACGCCGGCGAAAATGAACAACGTGTTCCTGGCTCAGCAGAGGTTCGCCCGCAAGATGTGCTAGTCTGGCTCCAGCTTCCCTGGGCCCCGCGAACCCCGCAAACAGATGGCGGCCAACGGCGCCAACAATGGGGGAGGGGTCAATTGCTTGAAAGCCTGCCTCACGTCGACCGGCTGGCCCGCCAGCGCCGCTCGCCCCCCCCCCATGCGCTGCGTCGCGTCGCCGGATGCCCGTGCTCGACTGGACTTCGACGCGCCGCGGGCGGCACAAGCAAGACGGCGGGCAGTGCGCGGCGGCAGCAGCGCGATCCGCGCCCCCGAGATCTATGCGGGCATGCTCGCGGCTGGTGGCGTTGTGGTCGTGCTTGGAATGATCGTCGATGAGCCGCGCTCCGGCCGCCTGGGGCATGCCCTCGCGCCTGCATGGGACCCGCCACTCCCGACCGCCCTGAATGCCTCCTCTTCCGTCTCAGAGGGGCACAAGGACTTGCCTTGGATGTGTCGCGGGCGGCTGGTCTGGAGGCGGGCCCAGGCGTCGCGATGGATGGCCGCGCGTGCTCCATCCGGCGTTCGTGCCGTCAAGTCCCTCCTGGTTAAAAAGCATCTGGCCGTCAACTCTCTCCCAGCGAAAAAACTTGGCCGCCAACTCTCCGAATTGACGCACCCCACGGACGGCCTCCTTCCGAGTGGACGGACCCCCTTGACGGCCTGCTTCCGAATTCACGGACGCCCTTGGTGGCCTCCACCCGAATTCACGAACCCCCTGTACGAGCCCCCATGGCGGCATCCCCAGACCCCCGACGTCATGAATTTTTCATGACGTCGACCCCCCGAAGTCTCGACCCATTCCCCGGGACTGGTTTTTCGTCCTGAGTCGTTTTTTGACGGTCCCGAGGGCCGGCAAGGGCCCCCAAAGGCCAAAAACAGTGAAAAACCTGCCGTCGTGATTTTTTCATAACTCGAGGGGATCTGGGGGTCGAGGCGCGACCGCAGCCCGGCGCGCTGCTTTTGGCGCTCCGCCCGCGCGCGAACCTCTCCGCGCGCCCGCGGGGGCCCAGGGCGGCCGCTGCCGCCGCGGCCGCGCCTGCGCGGCAGCCCCCCCCCGCAGGTCTGACCCGGCAGTCTGCCCGCGAGTGGGCGGCGCGCGGAGACGGCTGCTCTCGGCAGCGCCGCGGGGGCGGGCTGCTGCCCGGCACCGCCCTCCGCAGCGGTGATCAAAAGCTTCCCTGGGGCGCGCGGGCTCGCTCCGGCCCGCCCCGGCCCGGAGGCCGCGCTGCCCACTGCGCCCGGGCATCCTGGACAGAGACGTCGCAGGATTGCCGGGGCTTCTCCGCGGCAGTCCACGGCGACGCGCCCGCGCGCCAAGGCCGGCGCGCACGCGAGCCGTCGCGGGCAGCTGAAGAGCGCCGCGAAGGCGCTGGCGCGTCGCTCCCGCCAATGAGGTCGACGCACCCCTGGAAGCACCGCGAGAAGGCGTTGCCAGAGACCGCGATAATCCAATCGATTCGATCTGCGACTGTCCACATGGCTGACCAGCTCGAGGCCGAAGTCATACAACGCGCTCCTGCCTCCAATCGCGCCTCCTGTTCCTCCAATCGCGCCTCCTGTTGCGCTCGCGCCCACGCGTCCGCGGGCCCCCTTTTGTGAACCTGGGGCCCAGCCCCGCGCGGCCACGATAGCCGCGCCCGCTTCGCTGGCGAACCATCCGCGACCAGATCCAGTCATTGGCGCCGGCCGGCTCCCGTCGCCAAGTCACGCGGCGCCCAAGGCCCATGCGCGGCGGAGGGGCTCCCAAGTCTGTCGACCCCCAGGCTGGGGAGGGAGGCCATTCTCAGAAGTCGCCACCAGCTTCGCCGAACCGCCATGCACCTCCACCAAGACATGGGCGCGTCCACCCCGTCGGTTTGTCCTGCGCCGCCCGCCCGAATTCGCGCGCGCGCCAGACGCGAAGCCGGCGGCGCGGCGCGCGTGCGCCAGCAGGCGCCGCAACGCGCGCTCCCCGTTGCACCTGGGGCGCAGTCGGGCGAGCCGCCCCTCCTCGATTTCTCCGGGGCGGCAGGGACCCTGCCCGGGCCCGCCCCCAATACCCTGGCAGCCCAGCCGGGCCGACGCCCTTCGGGCGCGCACTGCCCCGCGCGAGGCTCTCTGGACGCGCCCCTGCTTGCAGCGCGCGCGCCGCCCCTTGTTGCGCTGCCCCTCCGGGCGGGGATGTGTCCCATCCTTGCGGCAGGCTGAAGCTGTGGCAGATGGGGTCGCGGCCGTCGCCCTCTGGGGCGCGCCCGACGCAGGGCGGCGGCGCGGGGGCGTTGGGCCTCTCGCCCGGGCCCCCTCTGCTTGCTCCTTTGGGCCCACCCTGGGGTTTGCCCTTCCCGCCGACGCCGCTGCCGCTGCTGCCGCTGCCTCGGGCGCCCGCGCCGGTCGGCGTCGATCGCGCTATGTTCTTCGCGTTGCTCTTCAGCTCTCTCATGACCTTCTGGGGCGCTGGATTCCCGCCGCCCTCGTCGTCGTCTCCCGGTTAACCCTCCTGCTCTTTTGCGACGCCCTCTCCGGCTCGGCTGGGGGGCTGCGAGATGTCCGCGCTGGGGGCGCGCCATCCCGCCGCTGGGGGCGCGCCATCCCGCCACCTCATCATGGGCAAGCACGCCGCCCACCCGATAATCCAACGACCAGGGGCCTCTCCCCGGGCGCCGTTGCGCAGCGACAGCGGCATCGCGCGCGGCGCGCTGAAGCTTGCGCGGCGGCGCCCAGAATTTCGAGCCCTCAAAGCAGAAGGCTCGCGGGGGAAGGTCGCAGGAACCGCGGGCGCAGTGCTGATCTTGCGCGCCCGGCGGCATGGCCGATCGCTTCGGCCTCTGATGTCTTCGCCGCTCTTGGGGGGCCGATTGGATTTGCGGACGCGCGCTCCAGTTATCAGTCGCGACTTGGCCACGAGCGCGGGAGCTGGGATGGCGCGGACGCCTGGCGCGCCGACCCCGCCGACGAATGCATGGGCCCCAAGGGATCCCGCGGCCACTAGATGGAGCCGACGCATGGTTCGGTCAAAGGAGCTTCTCGGGACGTCGGGGACTCCGATGGCGATGGCGATCAGGACAATAGAACCGAAAACTCGAAACCAAGTGACCTGGAGGCTGACCTGATTCAGGCCAGTGTTGGAGGAGGGTCATGGACACCGCATAGGCGACGTGTGCATGGATGCTCACGCACATCGTGTCGCCCAGACTGCACGCGCGATGTTTGCACCTCCGACCGCATTTCTTGGGGGTGCGATACCAAAGCGAGTCAGCAACTCGATGCCATGGCGCGCGTTGAAGCTCGAGGTTCCCCACATCGATCGCGAGGCTCGGTGGCGGTGGAATCGCGGGCTGGCGCCAACATCTTGCGCGCCGCTCGTGCCGCGTCGCAGTGGCAGTTTCGACGCGGTCCCAGGTCACATCAGCACGGATGGCGCATGCAGGAAAGTTTGGCATTGACCGGAAGCTGCCAGAGCAGGGTGGGGGTTCATAAAGTATGCCAGGCGGACCATCGAGTTGGTCGTCTACGGTGCACTCCCAGGCCCCTTTTCTAAAGCTCCCCAGGGGCTGAGATTTGCGCGCTTTGGCAGGCCATTGAGGTGTGTGTGTGAGAGAGAGAGAGAGAGAGAGAGTGAATGTGTGTGTGTGCGTGCGTGCGTGCGTGCGTGCGTGCTTGCGCGTGCGCGTGCGCGTGCGCGTGCGCGTGCGCGTGCGCGTGCGCGTGCGTGTGCGTGTGCGTGTGCGTGTGTGTGTGTGTGCGTGCGTGTGTGTGTGTGTGTATGTATGTATGTGTGTGTGTGTGCGTGTGCGTGTGCGTGTGTGTGTGTGTGTGTGTGTGTGTGTGTCTGTGTGTGTCTGTGTCTGTGTCTGTGTGTCTGTGTCTGTGTTTGAGTGTGTGTGTGTGTGTTTGTGCGCGTGCATGTCTGTGCCGATTGTCGTGGGTTGGTTGACGGCCCCGACGCCTCCCCCCCCCCCCCTGCACGCGCGGCCCGCGAAGGCCCGGGCGCGCACCTCAGGGAAGAGGCCTGCAGCGAAGACGAGGACCACGGAGGCGCCCCCAACGCGTCTCACGAGGAGGAGCCCCCAAAGCGTCGCAATGCAGAGATCTGCTGCGAAGACGAGGAGGAGCCCCCAAAGCGTCGCACGCGAGGGGCCAACAGCCAGGGGGCCCCGTCGAACCTGCGCCCAACAAGTGGGTCGGCTCTGCGGCCCGGCGTGGGCGAGGCGTGCACCTACCGGTCCCAAAGCTGCCGCTGCTGCCACGCAGAGTGCCCACAGACCGGTCATGGAGGCTTTGCAGCGGCCAGTTCGCTCGCGCCTCTTGCGCGTGTCCCACGGGCGCGCCGGTGGCTTCCGGAAGCCCAGGACGCGTGGGAAGACAAGGGCAAGCGACCCCCAGAGCCCCTGACCCCGCCCCCCCCCCGCACAGAATGCACACCTTCGAGTTGGGTGGGCAGTCCTCGTGGATATGCCTCCACGTCATCGTGGATATGCCTCTACTGTCGTAAAGGAGCATCACCCCCGGCAGTGGATAGGGTCACGGGCATGTCGGGGATCAGATTAAGAATGATGAAAATGGTTTTCTCATGGTTCTAGGCCGCTTGCGGGCCGCGCGGTGCTGAAGTTGAAAATGCTTCATGGTGGTTTCGAAAATGGCCGCGCGCGCGTTTAAAATAGTTTCGGCGTCAAACTAGCAGCTTGGCGCGCCCGCCATTGGAAGGTATGATTACGCGCAACGCGGCCTTCGCGCAGGGGCGCCAGGGCAAGTGGCGCTTGATCCTCCTTCCCGCTCTGCCCTGCAGTAGGCGGTGCGAGCCAAGGGCGTTTGAGCCTTCTCCGTGCCTCTTCACATGCAGCCCGAGCTCGGCCTTTAAGCGCGCGGGTGTCTTTTGTTGGGCTAGTTGGAACTAGAGGTTGCGTCTCGAACCGAAAGAGCCAACATGTTTTGTCCCACCAATTACCGTTGCTACTGCACGCTGCTGGGGCCGCCGCCCACGAAGGCATCCCCAGGTTCGCGCCGAGTCCGTCACATGTGAAACGTGCTGCGTTTGCAGGCTGGCCCGCGCCGAGTCCGCGGCATGTGAAGGGTTTGACAACTCGGCGCCGCGCCGAGCAAGCTATCGTGCCCCCCCTACCCTCCTTATCGGCAGAAGCAGGGGCGCGTGCAACAGGGCACTTGTTTAAGTTGTTGTATGTTTTTTCAAGTTTGTGCCTAGCAGCTCCGCGAAACTACTGCAGCGCGCGCCTGTGCAGTCCATCGTTGTGTGTGTTGGGTAATTCGTTATTTTCCCTCCCCGCTCTGAGGTCGCCGCCCTGGGCGGCCGAATGACGAGAAACTTTGCTCAAACTTGCGCCGCAGGATGTGGAGTGAGAAGATATGGTACGATGCGGGATCGAT